TGCTCCCTACTGTGTAAAGGCAAGGGCCCAAATAACAACCCTTTGTCCAAACAGCGTGCGTTAATATGTATAAAGGAGTTAGATGAAGGAGACTGTCTGCTCAGCTTCCTTCCTTTCCACTGATTCTCCTAGCTCTAAATCGTGTACTATTTTGACAGGCAGAAACAGCTCACATGCTAGCAAGGACTCTAAACTAATACTAAGACATAACTATATCTCAGTAATAGCAACAAGCTCTGAGGGTCCTGTTACGGTAGAAGAAATCTTGCTTGGTGTACTGTGGTATTGTTTACACAGGTCAGGAAAACAAAAAAGAATTTTGTGTCAAGACGACCTTCGTGGTATTGTATTGGCTATGCAATGGAAACTCAATAAATATTTGTATATTTTACAACGCCATACCTTCGGTTCTGAATATTTCTGTACTCAGCTCTTTCGCATCGTCTGTTTATCATTTAGTCCATACATTCCCACTAACAAGTTGATTTTAGATGATGGAGTCATCTTCGCGAGGATGCCGTTTGAATGACTGCATTGCGATTACTTAAATATGTGAGAAACTTTCTATAGATTTTCTCAAACATGCTAACTCTTCATACCCAATGTGGAAATTGTGGACGAATACAATGGACCTATAATACCAGACACAAAGGACATGAAATCTTAGAAATACAAACTTTGTCCTTAAATATTATCTTACGAAGACACACTTACCTATCATGTAACATTAATAATTGTTTGCCTCTCACGTACCATATATATCTTGATAATATAAACTCATCGTATATGATAAGAGGTTTGCTTAAAAAACATATTTTCCTAACTGGGAGACAAGAAGGCTAGTGAAAATTGTTCAAGAAAATAATCGTACAACATGAGTGCCACTCTAATGTGCTTGTCTTAATTTTATCCAACGAAAAATTTATCATCAAAATTATGTAAAAAACTTGCCCGTACACAATCAACTATTTTGGTTCCAACGGGCTTTACACGAGAATTTACAAATATTCTTTCACATTGATTATTGTAATTAGATCAGCTAATTTATACATTTGCGCTTTGTTTGTATATGTTCATTAACATATTGTATGTTGGGACACAATCGCTACTGCAAGCTTTGAGTACCGGAAACTGTTTGAAGCATTTCAGACAGAGACAAGTGGACAAGATAGCCGACTGATATTCGGAGTGGTACTTTTCCTGTGTTAATTCGGGTGAGGTTACCTTAAAAAGAATGCATTGTATAAACAAAATCTTGAAGAAGAAAGTTTCTATTTGCATGGTATTATGAAAAATGTTTCTGTCAAAATAATAATCTATAAAGCTGCACGTAGAAAATCTAAATTTTTCATGTTGATGTAATCAGTATAAGCCCTAACCTCAAAACAATTAAGTAATTAAACCAGTGTTGATCTGAGCAGAGAACTTTACCTACATAAGATTCGTTCAGAATCTGCAAAGTAGAAAGATGACGAACAAGAGTGGTATTATACTGTGTAGGCGAAGGCTCAAAATTCAAACTTATAGTTAATGACGAATCAAGTAGATCGAATCAATACCTTGATCTACTAGTGTGCATGGTGTACGAAGACCCATTGCGTTGTACCAACGAGAAATAATAATAATAATAACGTTTATTGATATACAACTCAAAAGGAAAGGGTTATTGTACGGACATTTTTCAACCCTTCCGAAGGCATTAATATAAATGTATAAATTGCGAAAGAATAGATTGATAATAGACATCAGACAGATATAGTTAAATAACATGGTTAACATATTACAATCAGTATATAAGAGTACATTCTACATTTAAACTGTATAAATGGACAAGTAGGTAACTACAGACAAAAAGAAAATATAAATAGTTAGAGATAAGGTCATAACGCCAAATAATAGATGGAATTCACGATTACAGTACATTAAACTGATACAATAACATCGTATTAGTACACACCTTTTTGCCTGTTAAGAAGATATAGCCTGTAGTATTTTTTAAACCGTTGTATGGAATTTTCGTCAAATAGTTCAACCTCTTTGTTCAAAATGGTTAGGTCATGCAGCTAAAACTACTTTTAAACTTGCCTGAAGAGTGCGTAGGAATAAGATATAAGTTTGAGTTTCTCGTAGCTAAATTATGAACATCAGAAAGCCGCGTTAAATTTTTATAAAGGTATGATGGTTTTTTATATTTGATCAACTTATACAACATAGTACTGTAATGCAATTCACCCTTTGAATCGTATTTCAGATAACCCAAATTATTGTAATGTGGAGATATATGTTCAAACCTGTTGATAGTGTTGTAACTGTACCGTAAACAACAGTTTTCTAAAACCTGAACCTTGTGTTTCAAGTTAGCACTTAAATATGTGTAAAAAACAATTAAACCGTAGTCCATGTTAGATAGTATAACAGCATTGACTATTCGCCATTTCAAATCGGCAGATAGAATATATATGAGTCTCCAAAGCCTCCTAAACTTAAAATAACAGCTACTAATTTTACTAGCTATCTGAGATTCAAATGTTAGATTGCTGTCTATTAATATCCTTAAGTTTATGACATTGTCCGCTATATCAATAACCGACCCATTCAGTGTAATATCTTGGGATTTAATTGTGGACTTTCCATTGATATTTGAGGATGCTGGGAAGATCTGCTGTGTATATACTGAACAACTGTCCTTTCACTAGATAATTCTCCATTGAACTTTACCGTTTGTTTCCTATTTGCTAAGTAACTTGTTATCCACTGTAATGCTGATTCTTTCACACCATAGTGAAACAACTTGGCTACCAGAAGATTATGGTCAACCAAGTCGAATGCTTTACTAAAATCGAGTAATATTAGTAATGTCACTTCTAAGTTATCGATGGATGCAGTCATGTCGTTAGTTATGTTCATCAATGCTGAAGTGATGCTGTGGTGCTTTCTAGAACCTGATTGAACTTCAGGCAGAGTATTATTGATGTTTATATGGCATAACAATTCTGCTTCAACAATTTTTTCGATAAGTTTGGACATAGTTGGAAGTACATTTATTGCTCGGATGTCATCCAATCGTGTGACTAAAGGTACTTCCGCTAATGGTAGAACAATCGAGTGTTCCTATAGGTTCCAAATGAAGATGAATGTTTTGTCCTACAAGTTTATCGATTCTTCTGTGACAAATGCTTACGTACCGCTAAGTTGGACTTAAACCCATTTCCAGATCCAAAGTCAAGAAGTTAGGATCCAAAATAAAGCAGAGGAACATCAAACTTTTAACAAAAACCAATTGTCTGTCGATCAGAACAAAAAGCTTATATCAATATTTTATGCCGCAGCTCTATCTGAAAATATAAATAAAGTATTTTCGAAACACAAAGTTTATGTAGCACATAAACCCGGTGTCACAACTAAAAGCATCCTTCCAAATTTAAATCTCCTTAACGAGAAAGCTCGGCGAAACAATTATTCGATTTATAAAATAGGATGTAATAATAAATTGCCCAAGTTCATATACCGGATGTTTCAAATTCGACTCCCGCCATTGGGATCGGGAGATACGAAATCTGTTAGATAGAGGCAATTTTTCCCGAAATTGTTTCAATGTTTCCCCTAACTTTATTTTAGATCTGATGTAAAAATTAGACATTGACATTGCTTTTGAATGCTTGTAAATATTGTTTGAAGTTGTCGTCATTTGACTCGGAGACAAATAAGAACTGATTAACTGCTTCCTGAATTTGCAACATTTGGGTTTGTCCAGATTTCTAGGTCTACGCAACTCGGGATAGAAACATCGGTAAACTCACATCAAATATGGAACGTCGTTATTGCTACAGGAATATTGCAATTTCGGTTCTCTCTAATCCATTTATAAATAAACAGCTAGGCTAACCTTCACACCTCGCGGTGATTTGAATTCTAACGCGTATCTTTAGTTTTTGGTATTTGTTACTAGGATAATTTGCGTATACATGAACTATACGCAGTGTAAAGGAAAGTCCGAGCTTTAAGAAAACACAGTATATCTGTTCCAATATATTCCTTGTCAACGTTACGATTACTTTGATATATCACCAGATATAAAACTCGATTCAAGGAATTCGTTCCTCTTCCTGAGTCAAGGTTCAATGAAGAAGTGATCCTCGGTTATAACTCACACAGCTATTAAGGACCAATTCATTAAGTCTGTGTGACAGTAATGTTGATTTTTCTTGTAGTCGAACCGACATTATTGAGCAAGTTTGTCAATTAAACACCTTCCGGCTGACATGTTCCAGGGTCGGTCGATTATGCAGTCACAATTAAGAAATTATTAGGCAAGTAAAATATGCGTTTTGTCTGTGTCACAACGGTTTGTCTGCTCCCTCAAGACACGAACGCAACCCAGTAAAAACTATTGCTTGCGATAAGAAGTAGTTAAAGTACTCGTTGGAAGTCCGAGAGGTGCGGCCAGATATCAGGTTACGCGATCCACACTTAAACATGGCCGCCAAATTGTAAAATGGTTATTGAATATATCTTCGTAACCAGTAGGCCGTTTTAAAATTTTAAAAAGTCATTTTACACTTTCTTATGTTTAAAATTTTTTTTAATTCCCTGTCACTACGGGAACGCTGTTTGATGATTAGTTTTTCGCAAATTTGCATTTTTCTTTCAAAATAATGATAAATATTACAGCTGCCTTGTTCATAACCCCCAAAACCAATGTCTAAAATGGCGGCGTCAACCGTGAGATTAACTTCTCATCGAATAGTCATTTTGGGAAGGGTCATTTCGGGAACGTTCACGTCTATGACGGGCGTTCCAGAAATGACTGCCTGTGAACAAACTGATAATCTAATTTGTTTAAAAAGAATACCTATACTAAATTTTGGTTTTAGGTATCTATTTAGTACAAGTAACATGGAAAACAATAAAAATGAGGAGAAAAATATTTCGAGAAAGCGATTGAGACAGGATAGTATAGCTTATAAAAGGCATCGTGAAAATGCTAATGCAAGGAAACCCAAGGTTTTAGATAACATGACACCTAAAAAAAAAGAGATGAAGGGACTAAAAGATAGGGAATATTACCAAAATAAGAAAGCTGACGAGAAAGTTAAGACTGGTAGTGTAGAGGAACTTGAAGGCAAAAAGAGAACTGAGAGATAATTTAAAAGAAACTGACATAACGATTCAAACTGATTTCGCTGAAAATTACGTGACAAAAGATGAATAAGAGATTCAATCAATTAGATGAGGAGCTTCAAAAATGATGCGTCTCTACAAACTGTTTCATTTGCCACTTTGAGTAATAATTTAGACCATCAGGTTCATGCTGTAGGGGGTCACTTGAAATCAGCGTTGCAGAAAATATTAAGTATTAGGCCTTACGTAAGTACCCTTCACGTGTTTTCAAATCCCAGTATAATATCTACTCATGGATTAAAACCTTAACAGAGTAGTTTCCGCAAATAACTGCTTCAACGTGGACATTCAGTGAATCAGGTCATGATAAGGGGCCATTGAATGGCGTAGGAGGACTGCTAAAAAACTGCTTCTGCCCAAGTATTACAAGGAAACGATGTCAATACATCCGCAGATTTTGTGGGGACGACCAAATAATTGCAATAAAAGAAATAATACCTGAAAACCTAGATGCTATCCCCGGAACCATGAATATAACTAAGATTGGCAGAATGTTTCTCATGTCTCCACTGTATCAATTTTCAAAACTATTGCGAGAAATTAAACTGCTGTCATTTCCAGTTGAAGATAGAGGAATCTTTTCATGTCAAGTGCATCAGAAATGATTAAAACTACATTGAGAGTTTCTGAGTCCTATTCATATCAATAGAGAAAGCATTTACGTCTCCGCATACGGATGAGACACTTCAGATGATCAGAATCTCCAAACGGTTTCAGATCGGCTTCATGAAAAGAATGACGATATTGATGCTGGTACATCGTACGGAGAAGACAAGGACAACTTGCATCCAAACTTGATACACCCAAAGACGTATTTGAGAAGGAATGTGGTTACAGTTAATAATCCTTATTCTTTTTATACTAATTTTACGTCTTTTTGTTTTTTCCTAGGAATTACCAAATTCGTTATTATGTTCAAACTTTGAGACCCAAGCTACATTGTGATATTATGAAATTATGCATGCAGTAGCTAATAATATTTCTAATGCCTAATATCTATTTATTTTAAAACTGCAAAGTTTATTATTATTACATTTTAAGTTTGAATGTTGATACTCACGTTCCTCATCCCTCAGTACAAGTAAAGGTATAATACTAAAATGTTTATTTTACTCTAATGCATAAAATATGTCAAAAACCAGGTGTGGCATTCATTCAGAGAAGGTCAACGCCCAACTAACAATTATTACTCCTATTAGAGTTGCAAGAATGATTATACAGCATTCCTTACACAGCATTTCATACTGTAAGTACATTGGCAAAACCCTCTTAGAACAGCTATACAAGCGGAATGGGCACACCTAATAGGACACTTCAGTCATTTAAGAGGTTGTATAAGGGCTGCAGGTAACAGTTATACAACAAAAGTGTAATCCTCTTGCAGCCGCTATAGGACATTTGCGTCAGTGCAAGATTCAGTTTTTGTCAAGTATACAACTATTCTGTTACGTGACTCTACTTTATTGCAGCCAAACTATTTCTTATGTATTGTACAGACGAAGGGAAGAATATATAACTAACACATTACAGTCATCTTATTTACTTACATATCGGCCATTGTGAATTTCATACCCAGGTATATGATAAACTTCTACACTGTGATATAGGGCTATTGAACTACTTGCGCAGCAAATTTTATTGTGATTATCGTGCAAAGTAGTTACGCAATTTCTACGGGGTTCGTATTTGATTCATATTTTAATAATGATCCAAAGTATGTCTAGATTTTTAAGATGGAAAACTGAACTTATCTGCGTTAAATCTTCCACAAATCCTATATCTGAACACAATTACACTAATGTTTATCACTTTATATCTGTAATTTCGGACTGAAACATAATTATATAATATTAAATAGAGGAATAAATGTTTCCCAATATGGCGGGTGGTTATGCATAGTCATGGTATCGTCCATGTTGTCTTTGGTTTATTAGAATATTTTGGTATTGCCTGCAGGTGATATAAAACAATTTGACAAATGTCTGAAATGAAATACCGACAGAGTCGAATGATTTACCCAGAATTTGTACCAGATCTATATCTTCTGTTTGAACGGTTGATAAAACCTTTTTAACCAATATGCATGCGTTGTTTGTCTTATAACATTGGTTATAGCATTTTAACAAAAATATGATATCAGAAAGTTAGGTTATGGTAAAGTTGTATACCAGCATATTTAGCAATAAATGTCTTCCGAGCACAGCAATTTTATACTATAAGGTTGTAACATTGTTGCAGATGTACAGCCTTTAATAGTCACCAAACAACAGTTGTACAAGTGCTTCCATTGGGAGCGATTTGTTGGCTAAAGTAGTAAATTTTCACAGCAATACAACAATGCTCGTGTTTGTTTTATACACGTTACCATGGATGCCACAACACAACCATTTTGACTACCGTGCAAATATGCCGTATAAAATAGTTGTATAAACGTTTATGCAACAGTTAAAAATTTGTCCTATAAGGTGTTGTATAGCTATGCTATAAGAATATTTTAAACATCTCATTTTAAAGCAAATATGTTGCAGAAAGCAAATTTGCACTCCACACAACATAAGCCAGCATTTTGGTGTTAAGGCAACAGCAATGGAGAGCTTTTATAGCTGAAGGGTTCTTTTACCAAAAGCTTACAGCACTACTTTGCTAGTTGGGCGTCATTTAGAGAACTCCATGATCATTTCGGGAACATCCCCATGATTTTCGGGAACGTCACAAAAACAGTAAACAAATCACTAATACGTAATGTAATAGTTAAATTTTACATATACCAGATGAAAGGACCTTTGGGCTTTGGTATTTATATCATTAGTATACCACTATGTGCATGAATGTATAAAATTAATTGAAGTTTTGGAGCAGAATTTACACCAATTGAAGATATATGGACAGTAATTTGAAAAATGAAAAATGATTATGAAAAATTACAAATGAACAGCATTTTCTGATTTAGGGGCAGGTTTATTACAATTGATTGGAGGTGATTCTTAAATAAGTTAGTTATATTATTATTTAGACTAAGTTTAACGGTATTCCCGAAATGACTCACGACTCAGGGATAATTCTTATTAACGGGTAGAATTTCCAAAACATATGATTTTTTGCATCATCTTCATTGAAAATATTCCTGATAAATGACACAAAAGACTCCTCTTCTTAGTTTTCTTCAAAAGTAAACTTAATTTCTCAGATATTTGAAAACCTAAAATGCTCACCTCTCTGATCTTGACCCACGTCCCTCAAGTTTGATTGCAGGACACTATTAAGCACCTATGTAAATAGATAAAGCACTAGGTCACGCGATCGTGGTCGTTTGGCCAGCATATTTAAAAATGCCTGCCAAGTTGTACAAGTGTTGTTCGATATTCTTCGTAACCAGGGCACCGAATTCCATTTGTTTCGACAAATGTTACTCCTGGCGGAGAAGCTTTGTAGTCATGACAAATTTTAAAAATCAGATTTGTTAAAATCGCTTAAACCTTGTTTTTTGGTGTACATTATTGTTTTCGTGTGCACCGATATGGGCTAAGAATACCATTCCAAAACTTGATAAAACCCAGACAAGGGTATTAAAAAAAGTACTTCGAACCGAATCGTGGCCAAAAATGGCGACCAAATCGTAAAAACGTCATTAAGTAGATTGACTGTTCACTTCCTACGCAATGCTGTCATCAGTTCATAAGGGAAAATAGTTAACTCCTTAGAGAACAAGGCTTCTAATATATATAACAAAAAAATTATATAGACCAAATTAGTCAATCAGGCCTATACAATTAGTCCATAGTACCCATGAGGACAGATGTATCAGCATTAGATGCGTTATAATATACTTGCTCCAAAAAGTTCGAAATTCACCCTTCCCCACCCCTCACAACCTCTAAACCCGATTTTCAACCTCTAAGATTATTTTTCTGACTACACACACTAGACTACACACTAGATCCGCCGCCTTTGGATGGAAGAAAGTGACCTTGTGTGAATATTTAATCAAAATCCGACTAGTATTTTTCAAGTTGTAGATGGGCCAATAATTAGCTGACATACATAGCGACAAGCAGACACATAGACAGGCAGGCGGAAATGAGCTTTAAGAAATTAATATGGGTTTGGTGGTCACGAAGATATGTTGAATGATAGTTGTACAATTAAGCGGCGATTTTTTAATATGTCGGCGAAATAAACACGATTTGGATCACACGACCTCATGTTTCATAAGTTCCTCTACGGATCTAATAACGCACTGCATTCAGAAGTCATATATAAGTATACAGGTAACCTTAGTGGCTGATCCTAGACCTTGAGTGATTTGTAATGTTATCTTAACTTTATGGTAAGATCAGCGAACACTGTCCCCTGTGAATACAATATTTTGAAATGTTCGAAACTGGTTTTACCCTAAAAAAAAATACCGTTTACCCGTTTGAGTCATAGATGCCTTTACCAAAGATTTCCGAGCAGGCGACGATAGAAAGACAAACTAACCCGAATTAGTCGCATGATCTTTACATGTCATACAACATCCGAAAATCATAACGTTTTGGTTTGAAAATTCGTCACGACAGAAAATACTAGCCTTGAATATTGGCATGGGTAGCAGGAATGGCAAACGTAACAGTTATAATTTCCATTAGGCATCACGTTTATTCCTACCTAATTAAATAGGATGTTTATGCCAAACAAAACCTAAAATCTGCATGAAAAAACAACTCTTATCCCAGTAAAGCTTACAGTCTCGTAAAAAATATCCTACGCTTAAATAACGTAAAGATATCCTAGTGGGAGTTCATTTAAGCAGAAAACTCTCTCGGCACCTTCATAGGCAAAAAATCATCACCGTCTACCTGAATTTTAAACGAAGCGCTCCCCTCAAAACAAACTCATCGCCTCTGTTACTCCTGGTCGATTGTTTTCTTTGGCTAAATTATCTCACAGTGACTGCGTCAAGCACCAGTTGCGTACCTCATGGAAGGATTTTGAAAGAACAGTTGAACAGTTATGGAGGGACTAAGAACCATGTTTGGAGCTTCAACCTTGATTCAGGTTCAACTTTGAAGACAAACGGATATCGTACTTCATTAGAGAATTGAAAACGATCACAGAAAAAGGTCTGAGTGCTATTTTTTGAGTTACACCATGGCACTTACGAATACCCTCTTTTGAATACTTGTGAATGTGGGCACAGCGACTGC